AGGACTGGGATTGGGTGTAGCTGATGCATCGGGGCTTGCTTTCCTTAGAACGTCTTTGCACCGTCGAAAATGGAAACGGTTCCCGAGCCCACTGAGGGCCGCGGCAAGGTCAAGGCCTGGGCGACCATGCGGATCGTGTTTTACCTGGCGGCCATTCTGGGAGGTTTCACGGCCGCCGGTCTCGTGGGCACCACCAAGTTTTCATACCAGGACACCAAGGGGTGCATGCTCAGCGTGCGCCTGCACAACACCTCCTTGCTGGACTGTATCGACACCAAAAAGACTTGTAGCACTGTGGATGACTGCCCCAAGGACTGGTATTGCGAGCAGGTCGTTGGTGCCAATCGCTGTGTGCCTCACTCTTGCTTCTCCATCGAGAAAGCGGACAAGCGGGTGCCTTGCAACTTTGTCGTGGCCTTTGGCAGCATTTCTAGCGCCTTTGCCATGCTCATGTTGGGCTTTAACCTTTACAAGCTCATTGAAAAAAGAGCCCAGCCTTTCAAGTATGCACGCGCCTTCCCCTGTGGACTTTAATCCCGTTTGCTCTGCGTCTCGCATTGGCCTCTCATCTTATTGCCTTGCTTTGTGCTTGTTTCTTCCCTTCTCTCTTCCCCTCGTCCCTGTGTCGTTTCCCTGCCTTGTCTCTCTGTCTCCGATCCGTGTGCCCTCGCCTCGCTCGTGACTCTCCATCTCGCTCGTGATGATCAGAACCACGGGCATCAATGTGGCCATGGCCATCCTCTCCTTCCTCATCATGATTGTCGCCGTGGCCATGGGCATTCTCCTGACCGTGGCACTGCACAAGACGTGTGAGAGGTGAGGTGTTAATCGCTGCGTCTGCTCTGCTCCGGCCGGCTTGTGTGATGTTCATCATCTATCCTCATCCCCGTCTTGTCTGCTCTTGTTTTGCTTGTCAATCACCCAGCTTTGATCAAGTGGGCTATGACACCTGCGATGCCAACGCGCACGCCGTACTCAATGACGATGGCAGTACGTCTTTTCCACGGCTCGGCCATGGTCATGTGCCCACCTCTGTGCATCTGTTTCTGGCTTACTGCGCTCACTTGATACCCGTTTTCCTCGCGTGGCACCCGCTTGACGAATGTTTAGAGCACATCTTTCCCAAGTTCCATGGTAAATTCAAGACGGCTAGCTATTTTGCTTGGATATCTGCCATCTCTTGGTTTATGCTCTCCTTCACTTCAATGATGCGGTGCGTCCGAGCCAATGTTCGGCGACCCTACCCCTACCATTCCACAATGGCCACACGGGGTCGGCCTCCCGGCCCTCTTCCCTTGCTTTGCTCTTCGCCTCTCACCCGCCATATGTACTGTATAGGTGGTGGCGCCGTCGTCGTGAGCCCGAAGTCCAGCTCGATCTTGACGATGATGATCGCCAGCCCATTATTGATGATGGGCAGACGGATGCGCCCGGCGCCGAACCCGCGGCGGCACCAAACAACGATGACAACCCCTTTGCCACTTCGGAAAAGAACCCTTTTGAATAGTTAGCTGCACCTGTGTCCCAACCCGTCATACTTGCAACGGCTTGCGCCCGGCGCACGCGCACCGCAACCGCTCAAGCTAGGTCCTGGCCAACGTGTCTGCACACGTTGACTCTTGTTGTCCTTTCGCACTTGATATCTTTTCCAATTGTTTGTTCTTGTTCTTCTTCTTCTTCGTCTTTTCATGTCTGTTTCTGAAGTTAAATACACGCGTACAGCGCCTCCACCTCGAGCACCCCGCCCTCCCCCTTGCCTGCTCTGCGCCCAACGATCTGATGAGACACACCAATGAAACAACGCTAGAGCACACACACACACACACACACACACACACACACACACACACACACACACACACACACACACACACAAAACATGTTGTCAGCAAAAAAACAGCATAACAACCAGTTTTTTTCGTTTTTTGCTCAAACTTTGAAAAAAAAAAAAAAAACAGAGACACCATGTTCTCGTTAATGCAGAACGCGGCTCTGTCGTGTCGGGGCACGGGGCAGGCGCCACGCGAGACCAAGCTCATGTTTTTGGGGCTGGACAACTCGGGCAAGACCAGCCTCTTGGCCCTTCTCAATCGAGGTGTGTATCTCCTCGGCTGCTAAAGCAACAACGTCACCCCGTGCGCCATGATGCCCACGATTTGCTGTCACGCCGTGACCGATACGGGTAGAACCGCTGAGTGACGTGACCTCGACCATTGGATTCAATGCGGTCAAGCTACGCATCCTTGATCAGCCGTGCGAGGTTTATGATGTGGGTGGCAACGCTCGCATCCGCGACATTTGGCCCAACTATTTTGCCGAGGTATGTCACCAGCGGACCGTTGCGGAACAACGACATGGTCCAACCTCACACGCCCAGCCTTGATCCTGACGCAGCTTTGCCTGCTGACATTGCAACAACGCATAACGGCCCGTGCTGCTGTGTAGGTCCACGGAGTCGTCTACGTGGTTGATGCTTCCGACGAGAGCCGGCTTAACGAGGCTCGCGACGCGCTCTGGAGTTCCCTTCAACACGACTACCTGTCTGGCAAGCCCGTGCTGGTTCTGGTGCGTTGGATCTCCGACCTACCCCCTTCCCGTCCCGTGCATGATCGCACCGTGCGCTGCACTGACCGATTTGTTGGCCCGGGTTTTACCTCTTTTGCTCATACCCCTGCTTCCGCAGGTAAACAAGCGTGATCTAACTGGGAGCATCGATAGTCGTACCATCGCGCAGCGACTGGCTCTTAATCAACTGGGTAAGCACAGCAGCCAGAAGTGTGGAGGGCCCAACAATCTGCAGCTCTAAGGGCAGCGGCTCTAACCATGCTTGACGCGGCTCATAGCATCAATGAAGAACAAATCTGTACTTCATGTGACCGACTGTACCCTGACAGACAGCAAGCGGTCGCGCGTGGCCGTGCTGGATGGCGTATGTGCCATTCTGTCTTGATGTCTTGGTTGACCGCACCTCTGCTTCACTCACTGCTCTGCTACCATGGTATGGAATTGGGCCGTTTACAGTTTCGCTGGCTGCTACAGCGTGTGGAGGAGGACTTGGAAATACTTGAGCCTCGTCGCCGCGAGCAGTGTGCTCTTCAAGCCGAACAGGAGGCCCGTGAGAGGTCGGAGAAGCGGGAACGGGTGCGTCAGCAGCGGGAAGCACGGGCGCGCCAGCAAGAGCAAGACGAACTTGCCGCACAGCGCCAGGTACAAAAGAGACGATGCTGTGTATAACTTGCATGTAGTTGGGCCCTACCTTGGCACCTGCTTGACTCTATCTGTGCACATACAGGCCGAAACGGTGGAATTTTACGTCGCACCGTTGGTCCTGCTTGGTCAGTCCTGTTTGAGCCTTCTCCCCCCAAGCTCGTGCTAACAGCAAATGATTCCTCATTCGAGGGGTGGGAAATGATGGTTCACAGAGAGGCTACAAGCTTCCATCCAAGCGAATCCACCCGCAGAGACCCGCCTTGCCTGGGACGCCACCAGCGTGCCCTTGTATCGTGCCAGTTTAGAACACGGCTGGCTGACACTGTGCAAGCAAGCACGGCAGGGTGAGGCGTTTGGCTTGGCCACAGTGGCCCAGGCCATTGCCACCCACTACTGGCAAGCCATCGGTGGCATGGTGGGTCGACCGGTTGCAGTACACCCCAAGCCCGAGAAGAGCCAGTACTACCCTTTGTGTCTCACGTGTCCCTTTTTTGCCGTTTACGACAGGGCTCAGCACCCCTCGACTGGCTGGAACACGGCCCCTTTCGGCCAGCAGCTCAGGTATGATTGTGGTCCCCACGACCATCCTCTCCTCGCTTGTTTTGTACTCTCATTTTCTTTGACGTCCAGACCTCGCATGAAGTCTTTTGCGAATTACATCCGCCCTACAAGCACTTGCCAGTACACGATGCTTGAGTACAAGGACCTGTAGCCCAGATGCCTGCTTATTCCCTCCCACTTGACGCCGCTGTGCGGCCAACCCGTTTGGTTTGTAAATCTTCGAAATGGCTGGGGGGGTTTACACATACGCGCGCCCCAATGCCAAGTTCCTCCTCTTGAAGCCCGGGCGTAATTATATCCGATATACTTTTCAATGTGGAGTGCATTGTGGAAAACGGTTGCAAGCTTCCTGACTTGATGAGCAGCCTTCTTCCACAATGTCAAAGCAAAATGAATGTGGTGCCAGGTGAACCAATGCAGACTTGAGATGAGTGGATTAGAAAAGACACATGGAACCAGAGGCCACATGTTAAGAGTGTGGATGACTGGGTCAAACGCCATGCGCTGACAAGGTGGTGAGGACGGTGACCACCCAGAAGGGGAGGGCCGCAACTGCACTACCCGCCAACATGACCAAAAAAAAAAAGCACAAAGCTAGCGCGCCAAACTCGCCGCTCTCGCCATTAGCAAGAGGCCGGCGCAAGGTGCCACGGGCAAGATGGGGTGAAAAAGTAGAAAAGCAGAGGGGAGATCATTACCGAGGCAAAAACATAACACCGATGCCTGGGCAACACGGAATGCTGAATGCCTAGAGGGCAGAGTGTGCCTCTTTTCTCAAAAAGAACGGGGCACGGCATACACAAACGTTCAGGCAGCTCCGCTTTACCAGGAGATCTCCTCCTCGGTCTTCTGCAGCTGGAACCACTGGCCATCGGGACCCATGACCGGAGGACCGGCCTTGAGGTTGAAATAGGTGATGACCTCCGACTCGGGGTCCACTAAGCGAGGACAAGAAGAAAGCAGCCAAGAGTAAGGTGGAGCCAACAGACCAGCGTGCAGAGGGCTGCTGTGTGATATGATTTTTTTTTTCTCGGGGGGCAAGGGGGGCCGTCAAAAGAAACAACGCAGCGATACATACCAACGCAGCCAACAATGCGCTCATCCACGTGCGAGGGGATCATGCGGGGGCTTTCCTTGGTGCCGACGGGGCCCCACTTGAGACCCTCGAGACCGAAGGGATCCTATACAAGTTTTGCAATAGAGCGACATGAAACGGTGGTTGAGCCAGGATTCGAGTCACGTTTGTTAAAGAGGACATGGGCCATAGGCACAGGGTCAACGGCCAAGCCTGACCCTGGATACACACAGCAGAGCACATTAACACACCGAGTTGCCCTTGGCCATCTCGATCATCTCCTTGCGCTCCATGCCGGTGGCCTGCTCCCAGTTGTCAGGGATGCGGCCCTCAACGCCGTGCTCGACGGTGGCGGGGTCAGCAGTCTCAATAATGGCTGAATAAAATTGAGAGGCAAAGAAAGGCAACAGGGCCCAGCCAGGTGAGCCACAAGCTTACAACAGTCGAGGCGACAAGTGTCCCAGAAACGAATCCGAAGCTGCTGCTGCTGCACAACAGGATACAAGAACGCAAAGACTCACTCTTGCGAAGAGCAGGGTCGACAGCGGGGGCCTGGTCAGCCTTGAGAGCACGAGCCACGGTCAGAGAGCGGGTCGAGCGGGCCACGAGACCGGCGCTACGACGGAGAACAGCAGCAGCCATCATCTTGTCGGATTTAGGAGAATGAAGAGGAAAAAAAAACGGTCTAATAGGGCGAGAGTGCGATGCGCAGCAAACAGATCAGCTCAAACAGCGCTCCTCCTATAGCATTGGCCACATTCGGGTACCAGGCACGGCAAAAAAAAAGCCAGCTGCAAGCAAGCCGCCAAACGTCTCTTCCATCCCCGCTGTGCGCCTGGCGACTCGAGGTTACACACTGACCCGACCCTCCTGAACCAACAACGGTCAGCTCAACCAGCCCCCTCAATCAGCAACCTGATCATGCCAAGACAAGCAGTCCCCTCATCAACCAGACCCACTGAACATGATCCCTCTCCGTGTTAACCCCATGTCCCAAAGGCGCTGCCATTTCACTCACTCTCGCTCTCTCTCTCTCTCACACACACACACATAGACGTACTCGTGACAACAAAGAAATACCAAAGAGACAACCGCTAAAACCAAGGCCGTGAGGTCAGAGAATGGAGCAAGGTGGCCAGGTGCTTAGTGTTGAAATAAAGCCATATGTAGAGATGTGTTTCATTGAGAAACAAAAGAACCTTTCGCCACGGAGAACAAAAGAAACACTCCACACGCACACACACACACACACACAGAGCTGCTGGCCGCGATGCAAGGCAAGTGAATTTGTTGTATAGCTGAGGTGCTGATTTTTCCATCTTGCTTCATTGTAATTTTTGTTTGACTGGCAATGAGGTATTCTCGAACAACAGCCGTTCCCAACGCTTATCCGCTCTCCTCGTATTTTTTATTCTTTACTTTGAAGAGGTACGTACCAACTTGCTCTTGCAACACGGAGAGATGACTCCAGCGCACAGCTCCGTCGTCGGGCGATGGGGGCAAGACACTGGCGCGGGAGCCGTCTGGCTGTGGCCAGGCTTCATTTGTTGGGGTTGGGATACAAACGTTTTGCCCGCGGGGCTGATGGTGTGATTGTGACGTTGGATCTTTGTTTCTTTCCTGGTGACATTCTCTTCGCGGTTGCTGACACACACGCTGTGCGTACACAAACACACCTCAGCAACGATCCGACACGTCAACAACAGCAGACATGCAAGCCACGCAGCCAGCCCGCCCCGGTCCAGGCGGTGTATTAGGACCCAACTACGTACCCACAGCACGTGAACAAGAGGTTTTGAGCAATTGCAAGCGCGCCAGCCTCACTCGCGGTGTGGTCGGTGCTGGCTTGGGCGCCGCACTGGCTCATGTCGGTTCGTCTTGCACCGACCGACGTTTGCGCGTGGCCTTGCCCCTCAACCTATCATACCTCACTCCTTATTCATCCCCACCTTCCCGCTTTCGTAGTCATGATGCGCCGCCAGCCTCGTCCAACCAATCTGACCCTCGCAGCCTGGTATACGGGCCTCGGGGCTTTTGGCTTTTACGCTGGAGTTGCAAGCTACCAGACACAGTGCATCCGCCAAATCCTTGAGCTGTCCGACTCTCCCATGGCTGATGAGTTGCGTGCCTTTATGAATGCTGCCGAGCACGCTCCAGGACGCCACGCCTCACCAGGCGCTACCAGCACACCAGCCCCTACATACTCAACCATGCCGCAATCCGGCTACGGTTCTGCCTCCCAGCAGCTGGAACGAGAGCAACCAGCCCAGGCTGCGCCACCCGCACGCTACCAATACCCCTACCGTCAACAGCAGCAGCAACAACAGCAACCCGTGCCCCCGCAACCTACTGAGACCCTGTACAGTGACGAAAATGACTGGGCTGAACGGGCCCCACAAGCCCACGCCGTCGTTTCGAACAACACGACCAATGGAGCGCCCGCCGCGCCTGCCTCACCCTACACCGCGCTTCGGGAACAACAGCGTAGTCAATGGGCCACGCCCGCCTCTGCTTCACAGCCTTCACAGCAACCCAACCCCTATGCACGGGCGCCACCACCAGCAGCATCACCATATCACCAACCACAGCACCCTGAGCAGTCGCAACCCGACCAGTATTGGGGCGGTGCTCAATCGCCTGCACAGCCGCCGGCCTCCAACTATGGAGATCTCCACCAAGACCCCAGTCAACCACGGCCAACGTCTCCCTTGGACCGTCAACGCCTGACGCCGCGCTTCACCAAGTATGGCGATCCCATTGATGAGTAGCTACCGACATAGACCTTATCCTGCAAAACGGTGCGCCTGGCCTTCATTCATGTCCAACCCTTTCCCGAATTGACAATGAGAACATGCTTTGAGCTTTGAGACTTGAATATTTTGCATTCGATTGCTTTGTGTTTAAAGGGATGTCAAGGAATGGTTGTGCGCGACGCACACAAGGCAACTCTCTCCAGAGCGGCCCGTTGCCTCCCCGGATAGACCATGCGCTTAGTATCGGCCATAGCCGCCACCAGAGCCACCATAAGGTGCACTGTTGCCGCCGGTAAAGCCGCGGCCACCACCGCCGCCTCCACCACGTCGACCGCCACCACGGCGACCGCCAGACGCTGCAAACCCCGAAAGCATACACAAAACAAACCATGAGATACTGCTGATCAAGAGAGGAGCGTACACACAAGATAAAAGAAAGGAAGAAAGAAAAACAACAACAACAAATAAGAAGGGCAGTGTGACTCGGTCCTATCGATGTAGCTCCCACGATGGGTCGAGTTGATATGAAAGCAAAAAGGTTTATCATCACTGTCACACTGCCCCACAAAAATCAAACATGCGGCGGCGAGAAGTTTTGCTCAATCGATGACCCGAGCCGAAGAAATCAGATGGCCCCTGAGTGAGATCCACACTGACTCGGGGTGGGAAAGCTGCAAGCAACTTCCGCCCCAAAGTCACTCGGATCCTCGCGACTCGCGACCGCGCACCCCGAGAAAACTCAAGAGTGGCAGGGGTCGAAGGACAAGTCTTCACTCATGGTTCTCATCACGTTTTTCAAGCAATAACACGACAGCCACAGCACAAGCCTGGCGCACGAGACGACTCGAGAAAGGACTTACAGTATGACGAGATGCTGGCCATATCGCGCAGCTCGCGGGGGATTTCCTGCTTGGCCTCCTCCAGGACGGATACAAGATCCTTAGCCTGGCGGGCGTTCTTGCTACTGAAGAACGTGTAGGCTGTGCCCTCGCCACCACCGCGAGCCGTACGACCAATGCGATGCACGTAGTCTTCCGAGTTGTTAGGGTAGTCAAAGTTGATGACGTACTTGATGTCCTTCACGTCTGATCACATGCCACAGCAACGTGTCGACAAGGAACATCGGACAGCACGATCATCCAGCGACCCACCCCACAACAACGAGATACACCCGGAGGGAGAGCGCAAACACAAACCAAACCAGTTGTCAGGCAAATGAAATAAATCGTGAACCTCAAAACGCAAATGATGGATAAAACGTTTTCAGAAAGAGAAAAAAAAAGAAAAATAGAAAAAAAAGAAAAAAAAAGAAAGAGAAAAAAAGAAAAAAGAAAAAAGAAAAAAAAAAGAAAAAAAAGACCAACGTGACCATTTTGTCAACGGTGCAAACACCATCGGCGACAATAATGGAGACGCTCGCGCTTCGTCTCAAATGCGATGGCCAAGTTAGCTCTGACGGTAGTGCCGGAGGGCGACGCCGGCGTGGCAGAGGTAACTTGAAACACCAGCAAAGAAAAAGAGCATGGGACACGAGACTACCGCAGCGCTCAAGCTGATGGGCGAGCCCACGGTGTGTCAATAGAGCACGCGCACGAGACACCAAAGGTAGCCAAAGGAGCAGCGAAATGGAAAAGGCTGCGTAGGCACCAGAGTGACTGCGCGCGTGTTCCCTAAACACGCGTGGAATCGACCCCAGCAAAGACGGGCATTGACCCGCAACGCCAGGCAACAGAAGCGCAATGCAAGGTGTAGCGCCAAGTCGTTGTGCTGCGCTCAAGGCAAGACGTGCGGAGACTATGGCTCAAGAACGCCCAAGAAAGGCAGGCCCAAAAGCGGAACGCATCATGTGCGCACTGCTTTCAGACGAAGGATCCTTGACACAGCCACTCCCCACACAGCAAGCCCTAAACGCAACGTTGACTCGAGTCGCGATCCATGTGCATGGCAAATGCCATGCCAAAGGACCACTGTTTCCATAAGCCAGAGGCATAGCCTCGAAGCATGGAGGAGCAGCACGAGTTCACAAGGAACCGAAAATGCCCATGCCTTGCAGACGCGAAACAAATTGTATGGATTCCTGACTGACATGGTTCCCTTCACCAAACGCAAAAGTAGGCCCACAAGCCAGGTGCACTTGTTGTATTTTTAACCAATGCCGCAAGATGATGAGCAAGAAACGAGCTTACCAAGACCACGCGAAGCCACATCGGTGGCAATCAAAATTGGATGGCGGCCGTCACGGAACTCGGCCAAGACCGTATCGCGCTCACGCTGCTGCTTGTCACCGTGCATGCACATGGCTGGGAAGCTTCACAAAACGCGATGGGAAAGAGTTAGAACGACGGTCCTGCCCAAAGAACAAACATGGAACAGCCAATAGACCATCAACAGTCTGAGCCTAAACTTACCCTTCACGACGGAGGTTGCGAGTGAGGTCATCAACGTTGCGCTTGGTCTCGGCAAAGATGATTGTCTTGTTCTCTTTCTGACGCATAATTTCGTCCAAGAGGCGGAAAAGTTCACGCTGCTTGTCGTAATCCTGCATGATCATGACGTGCTGCTTAATGCGGTGGTTCGCAGAAAGACCAATGGCACCAATTTGCACGCGGATAACGTCTTGGCCCAAAAACTCATAAGCCAGCTGTTGCACCTCCTTGGGCCAGGTCGCGCTCCACATGAGGGTCTGACGATCAGGACGAATCTGAGACACAATCTTGCGCAATTGGGGCTCAAAACCCATGTCCAGCATGCGGTCGGCCTCGTCAAGCACAAGGTATGTGCAGCGGCGCAAGTTGGTCTTGCGTGTGTCCAAAAAGTCGATCAAACGGCCAGGCGTACCAATCAGCAGCTCAACACCGCGCTCCAGATCCATGGCCTGACCACGCTTCGGGGCGCCACCAAAGACGCACGTCGTCTTGATGCGAGACGACGAGCCGTATTTGTGGGCCACCTCGGCAATCTGTTGCGCCAGCTCACGAGTAGGCGCCAGCACTAGCGCAATGGGGCCATCGCCAGGGCGGAGCAGAGGCTGGTTGTTGATGTGTACAATGGCAGGCAGGATGAACGAAAGCGTCTTGCCAGAACCGGTGTCAGCCACGCCAACCATGTTGCGGCCAGCCAGCGCCATAGGCCAGCCCTGAGCCTGAATCGGGGTCGGGGTGGAGAAACCCTCGCGCATCAACACGTCCATGACATAGGCGGGGAAGGATGCACGCTCAAAGGTTGTGATGGGTTTGGGCACATCGCGACCCTCGACTGAAATCTGATGTGAGGCACGGAAGTTCTGTACATCTTCATCCGTCTGCGCAGCAGTCTCGGGGTGCTCGACGTAAAAGTCCTTGGTGAAGGGCGTCAGCTCGACCTGCTTCCAGTCGACGGAGCGCAAGTTTGACCCAAGGGCCCCCATGGGATCACCACCACCGTATCCACCGCCATATCCACCTCCGTAGCCGCCGCCGTAGCCACCGCCACCGTAGCCGCCACCGCCGTAGCCGCCACCGCCGTAGCCACCACTGCCATAGGAAGAGCCGCCGTAGCCACCGCTGCTGTAGGAGCCACCGTAGCCACCGCTAGCGTTGTTTTAAAAAAATAAAGCCGGCAAGGACGTATCATCAATGTGAGCGTTTGCCCACAAGTTGGGCCAGTACACACAGGCGACCGAGCACATGCACGCCGCTTACCTGCTGCCACCTCGACGATCGTCATCGTAACGGCCGTAATCACCCATGACGTCGGTGTGCGTGTTGGTCTTCGGCTACATTCACATGAGCATGTTTGGATCAGCACACACGCACATACAGACACACACAGACACAGAGAACAAGCCTCAAGACCTGAACGAGCGATACACACAGCCGCCGCCGCCGCCACTGCCGTTGCCGCCGAAACTTGATCAAGTCAGTGACTTACCTTTACTGCACGAAGAAGAAGAAAATGCCGTGTGGCGCTGTGGGATGTGACGTCGAACTTCGACGTTGGGCACCCACGCGCACACAACGTGAGCCGTTTGGATGACACTGGAGTGTGACTTTGGTCGCACTTTGTGACATGTAAAGTGTGGTCAAGTGTGACTTGTGGGTGACGAGCGGAATGTGATATAGGTTGAACGAAGGTTTTTGGGTGTAAAATGATACAACTTTGCAAACGAAGATTTGGAGCCGATTCTGGTCACAACACCTGTTTCAACCCGCTGAGCTGAGAAAAGGAACACACTTCTCACCGCATTCGCCATCTGCATTCAAAAACGTGAAAGGCCTTGCAGCGATGCGAGCAGCACACGCAGCACACACGCAGACGACAACTGGCGTTTCAGGTCAGGTGTCCACAGAATCTGAGCCACCCTGTCATGTCTTTGGCTTCTTTTTCCTGGATGCTGCATCCCTGATGGGCTTGATCTAGCGCTCGACCAGAGCTTTGCACTCGGGTGACACTTATTTACATAAAGTCATCCTCATAATCCTCGACTGAGACAGTTTGGTCCTTGTTGGTTGACATCTTATCGTCCTTCATCAGGGAAGAATATGACCTGCGTGCAACCCACCATCATGATCAGAGGGCTGTAAATTCACGGCGAGCGCGTTGGTCCCAGAAACTGGGTCCGAACGTACTGCAATTCTTTCATGCGTTCACGCTCAGCCTTCTCGTCCGCCTCGCGCGCGCGCTGGGCGGCCTCACGGCCCCTGCAACGGTCACAATAAGTGCGGCAGGCAGATGTACCGCAAGCAAGGTGAGTGCACCACAAGAAGAGCGAGAGTCTTGTGTCATAAGCTATAATGGCGCGACGCACTTTTGTCGGCGCACGTCTCGCTGCTGGCGAGCGGCTTGCTCGGCGCGCAAATCGGGATACCGTTCATCCTGAGTCGAATCGTGAGAGCACAATGAGGACGACAGAGCACAATGAGGATGACAGAGCACAATGAGAACGACAGAGCCACCCGTGTTGCTGCAACATGCACGTCCAAAAAGAACACAAACCATTGTCTTCTTAAAGGCGTTGATCACGGCATTTTCGCGCTTCTCAACCAAAAACTTTTTAACCTGCAACCCCGCAACCAACCCGAGAGCACCCGGTTGGCGATGAGCGGCTGCATCGAGGAGTGGAAAGGCAGTGCTCACGGCACACCAGGTAGCCCTGAATCCAGACAGGGGCGTGGCTTACCTCGCGGTTGTTGTGAAAGCCAACCTGGCCGACCGCCATGTCAGAGGTCTTTTTCAGGTTGGACCATGGCGTGTACACCACGGACACGTTGTTTTTCTTGTTGCCTGCGTAGCATCATGCCCCCAGCCCCCGTTCAAGAAATACAAAACACAAGGTGTCCGCCAATGAGACCAGAGGCCTAGATCCGGATTCTTGCCAGTCTTGCATCAGCAACGTTGTACATACCCTCGATGCTGTTGGCCTTGACGAGCTGGCAGCACTGGTAAATGAGTTCTTCTGGCAGATCCTTCCAGCCCTTGATGGTGCCTTCTGGCAACCGCACGTAGACGTGGGCTGAAGACAGCTTGTCAACGTGAAACCTACCAGGTGCAGCGTGGCGAGTGTTGAGACAAGGACAGCCCAACCCAGGTGTGGGGCATCCAAGCAGCATACCAGAGGTCATCAGACCAGCCATAGCTGATCAGGTCTTCGTTTTCGACCTTGTCTTTGCCCATGTAGATGAAATAGGTCGTGCCCTCGACTACGCCATCGAACGCGTGTGCGCACATCAACCCACACCAAGCACATCAAATCCAAAGCAT